AATAATATAATGATAACTATAATGCTATAATATAATAATATAATAAATAATACAATAATATTTTTTATACTATGCTATGCTAGTATTTCTGTGTTACAACCTACTTTGTAACACTAGGTTAGAGGGATTCATCAGTCTGATCAAATAATTTACCTAACCTCTTACTCAAATTTAGTCTAAAAACAAGAAAACTATTAGTCTTTAGATTAATTTAGGTTTTTTGTAATAAAGTTTCTACTATAGCATTATATTAATAAAAAAAAAATAAATAAAATAAATATTCTAATATAATATATATTATACAAATATATATCATATATACTAATACATATATAAACATAGCTATAAAAAATTTTTAAAATTATTAAACTTAAAAACACAAAAAAGCAATCTTTTATTTCTTTAATATTTATGTTTTCAGAAATTTCACTTATAATACTAGTAAAAAATAAAAAATTTGAAGTGTTGAATAGTATTATTCAAATACTATTCTTCAATATACTATTTAGCTTGTTGTATGACTTCATAAATATAAAGTTATATAATAAGTTAAATAGTGTATTAAAAAATGGTATTTAAATAGTACAGCTTATATAAATAATCTAGATTTGAGTTGAAAAGATTTAGAATAAAGCATTTATCTATTAACATGACTGAAGAAATGAATAGTGACTTGATTTATCTAAAAAATCATTACTTAGATTATCTGTTGAGTAGATGATATACTACCAATTAAAAATAAACTCAAATAATTACAATAATATCTTAAATAATATATTGTTTTAAAGTGATAAAAGTTTTTCAACATATCCATATCATTAAACGTGCTTGAAAGTATTTAGCAATTTTTTAAACTAACCTAGCAGAAATATTTTAAAAGCATTATATTTTTTTATTCAATTATAGTTATATTAATATATTGAATCTATTATGCCAAAATCACAAACTTAATTGAATTAGCAAAAAAATCTTTCTAGCCAATTTTTATCAGATGACCCAGAAATTATAATAAGGGCTATGACAGATATTTATAAGTTATTGTATAGTGAATAAAAAAATATTGGTATGGTGGTATAGATGTAGATCAGTGATTGAATCAAATATCTGTCAGAGGTATGTGGGTTGTGATAGCGGTCTACATATCTTTGACAGATATGAGATTCAATTACTGATCTACACCCATACCACTGTGTCAATATTTTTTACCCTCATACAATAACGTTATTATTGTCTGGCAGTTGTTACTGCTATAATCATTTGATTATATAAAAAAAATAGTCATGCATTTAAAAGTTAGCTGATCTACTAATAATGTGTATAAATAAGAATTTTTTTTGTAATTTCGTCATCTTTTTCCTACTCTTTTACAAAAAAAACTTCTTTTGCAAAATCAGCATACCTTAAAATGATCACTATAAATTTTTTTTTTTTAAGAACCACAATGCCTAAAATAGACAAACAAAAGGTTTATCTGCATGTTTATTTGTAGTTGTTTATTTACTATCGATCGCTATTGCTATTTATATATTTATTTGACCTTTTTTTAGAACTAATTTACATATGTAGAGCCTACGCTGAAAGAAATTACAGTGTTATAAAGAAAATCTGTTGTAGAAAATACATATAAATCTACTTTAAATTGGATTAATCAGTTTGAGAAATACCATAAAGATACCAATCTTTCTGGTGAATTATCTAATATTTCAGATTCAAAGCAACTTGAAGAAAAACTTTGCAAATACTTTACTGTATATCGCAAGGCTAATAGTGATAAATATTCTGTAAAATCACTTCAATCTGCAATTAATGCACTTAATCAGTATTTTAATAGTGAGACAAGCAAAATTAAACTGATTAACTTAAATGATAAAAAGACGCATCCTGATCTTTGGCATACATTAAATGGAAAAATTAAAACATTGTCTGCAAGTGAGTATAGAGAAACTAATGGATCTAATGCTTTAACTATCAATGAAGTTCAAAGAATTTTGTCACATCATCAAACATCAAAGCTTAATCCCAAGAGATTATTAAACAGAGTTTTTTTTTTAATACACTTTGTCTTGGTTTGCATGGTAGAGAGTATTTTTTACTAGAGCGTGTATCTTTTAACAAAAATATGAATTCTGACAATTATGAAATTGTTATTTGACATCATTACTTTTTGTTAAAATCGTTTAAACCCTTCTTTGCGCGCATACTATTTTATTATTATTATACTTCTATTATTTATTTACTATTTAACCATCATATTTATAATTATCTCTGGAAGATAATTTTCTTTCGCATTACTACTAAATTATTCGAAGTTTATTATTTTTATGGGAGATCCTGTAACAGAGTTTCATAACCAGAATATTGTTAATTATCAAGCACAACATCAACTTAACTCTGCTCTTGCTGCTACTATACTCCAAACTAACGCATTTAATTATTTTTGTGTTGAGTGTTTTCCTTCAAATTGTATTAGCCCTTGACTTGATTTTGGTATTTTCTGGACTTGGTACTCTACTAGTTATCATGCTGAATCCTATACTCGCATTACCCAAACTAATCATAACCGATTATCAGTAACACACGAACTATTGGCTGCTTAAGTTGCTGCTAGAAATATTATTTTTAGTTGCCAATACAGTACAAATATTGGCAGTGCAAGGGATATTGTTGCTGCTTTATTTTTTAGATATACACCTTTTCAAGATATTCCTGAAATCAGATACCCTGACAAAAATCACTATGATATTTATATTGATAACCTTAACTATAGAAGATTATATACTAGACCTATTATATATCAGAATTTTCCCCAAACTTTAGAACAATTTATCTATCAAACTCCTTGGCGAGACACCACTATTACTACTTACAATAACCCTAATTTTGTAACTGCTATCACTACACAACAAGTTGCAGATACTTTAGACCTCTATAGTGGTGATAGAAGGGAACATAATAACTTACCTTATCAACCTTATCAATCTCCATACCAAAGGGATAGTTCATTAACTATTTATTATACTCGTGATAGAATTCGACCCCAAATATCTTTAATTTACCAATTAAACCCAAATCAATTCCACTTGATAACACAGCCTACACTCTACTTGTAATCCCACCTCCACGCCTATTAAATTTCTAACAAGGAAAAGATACAGACCAAAGAAGTGAACAATCACTAGATAGTCTCAATAATTTTTTTCAATTACCTCTTCTACTCCAAGAAGAAAGAGAGGACTCTAATTCTAATACTGTTCGTGACAAACTAGAAGTTGATAACCACGTACTTGATGAAGCACCTGTTAATAATAACCCTATTGATAACAAAGCACTTGTTGATAACAATCCTATTGCTAATAATAAAGTACCAAAAAGTATAGAAATACCAGAAAATATTGAAGCATTTTCTGATAATGAAGAACAATTAAATACTGAAGAAATAGATGCTGCTGCCCAAGCAATGACCAGGTTGGCTGAAGCTCTACAAAAAGGAGGAACTAGTGAAAAGAGCCTTGTCAAAATAGACCCCTTTACAGGAGATGGTACCCAAGACCCACTAGATTGGTTAGATAAATTTGAACATGCTGGACAAGCTAATCATTAGGAAGGAGCTCAACAACTTGAAGTAGCTAAAGCACATATGAAAGGAATTGCTACTGAATAGGTCTGTAGATTTACTACTCCTCAGCTTATAGTATATAATGATTTAGCACATCTAGCCACTAGTTTCAAAACTTTATTTACAAACAAGTTTTGCATCACTCGACAAAAAGCAATATGGCAACAACAATTCTTCAACCTCAAACAAGAAAGTGACTCAGTTGATACATATATTGCAAAATTTAAGAATTTTAATCAGAAAGTCGCAGATTTACCCCCAGTATTTATCTGACAATATTTTATACAAAGATTACGACCTGAGTATGCTATGCCTGTACAAGCAGCTGGCCTAGATGATATTGATGCTATTATGAATACTGCCAGAAATTAAGAAACAGGAAAACATATTACTGCTTCAGAAACAAACACCACAGAAGCAATTGCTCAACTTACAGACCAAATTGCTCAATTAAGTATTAATCTTGCCTAGCAACAGCAACAA